CAGCCTTGCCAAGTTCCTCCCAACACTTCTCCAGGCACTGAAAACCTCCGTCCAGGGCTTCTCTACCCTGCCACACTTTCGATAAGCTTTACAAGCCCATTTTCAGGCCCGGAAAACAACAAAACGCAGGACACATCAGAGCATCCCACAGTTAGCTGGTTCCTCCACGCAAAGTTGTCGAACTGGGGTGCAGGCTCAGTTGTATCGTGTGACACAAAGCATCCGCTTTCTTTTGTGCATCCGGCAAATCACGAAACCAAGAACAGTCAAAATAAAGCGAGTTTCTGGCAAAGCTAAGTGCGATGCTTTTCGCGGCTGGTGTGCTCACCAGGCTCGAATGTGGTTTGCAGTGACTTCCGGGCGAGAATGAATGATACTCGAAGACAGGACAGTGGAAAGCTGACCAGACGTAGTGAATTTGCATGTGAAATTCCGAAACATGTCACCTAATGTAATGCAACTATTTCCAGATTTTTATCCTTTCCAGTTTTTGAAATATTAATTAATTTGGAGTGTTTGGATTGGGAATTTGAAAGATTGATATTTGCAGGCATGTGCAGTGACGTCTCTCTCTCTGTCTCTCGCTTCCTGCGCTTTCAAGTGTGCGAGGGCCCAGCGGCAGCTTGACAGTTTGCCATGTCTGTGCTGTGCCTGTGCAGAGCTGCGTTGCGGTGTTTGGTTGATTCAAGCCAAGCATGTGAGTTGTGAGAAACCGGAACAGCATGAACACAACTTTTCAAAGCAAATCAGTGTGCCCATACATTATTTACAGCTTGGGAGCATTTGCACAGAACTCTCAGCATGCCTGTCCGCAGCTTGAAAGAAAGCCTTGGCCCTTTCACAGGGCCACTCAGAACACAGCACAGCCGACACATCTTGGCAGTTCATGTCAGCTCAAGGTTAACCACAGAATCAAGGCACTTACGGGACAAAGCCAGGCCACTGCCACAACCTACTTCTCACCCATTGTGGCGTTCTGCTGCGGCTCGCCACTCATGGCAAAGAGCAGAGGTGGGGAAATGTCCAGAAAGGTGGGCGGTACAAGACAGAATGGAATGACTGCTCTGTACATTGCTGGATGCAGCAGAGGAAAGAGCCTTGCGACAGGATCCTAGTGCAGCCCACTTTCAGAATGACCAAATTTTGGGTGTGATGCGTGTGGCGGCGGCCTTCAAACACAGTGCTCTATCAGTGCCAGCGAAAACAGTACAACTTCTGGCAGTCTGTTTTCGGCACCGAATGCTTGCATGAGAGCTTGTATTTTTTCAATGTCGTAGAGGCCGGCCAACGTTCCGTCTCCCGCACAACCGCGCGGAGATTCCAGCCGTGGCTGTGGCACGACGCCACAGGGCTGTGCAGAAACCCGGCAGCTTAAATCGCAAGCGACAGCTGAACTTCTAACCCCAGCGGAATGTCTGCAAGCAGGAGAGTAGGCGAAAAGTGCCGCGATACTCTCTTTGTGGGGAGTCTCGTATCCCATGCTGCGTTGCAGTTGAGAGATCATGGTTCTCAAAAAAAGGCGTGGACGGAGGCTTCATCGGCTCTAAAACTGCAACGGAGTGCAGTTTTCGACTCTCAACGGTACTGCTCCAGGCGCGCGTCCGGCACCGCAAAAAAATCTGGTACCTGTCTGGCATCTGTCTGGCACCTCGCGCCGTCGCGTCTGCCGCTCCACGTGCGCGATTCAGCACCTAATTCAGCACCTCACGATTTAGCACCCGACTCAGCAACCAATTCAGCATCTCATTCAGCACCTTGCGATTCAGCACCCAATCAGCACCCGATTCACCCCGCGCCACGCACCTGGAGCACGAAGCCGCACCACGTTAGTCCGAGGGACCTCTAGGGAACCTTCGGGGCCTTTGGGCCTCTCACACACAGCACTCAGACAAAGCGGGCAAACTTTTCACTCTGCTGTTCTTGGCTTCAGCTCTCTAAATACTAGAACTGGCTCCTGATGCCTCTTAGGCATCACGCTGTAGCTCTGGCGAAAAGCAAGCAGACTTGAAGATTCACAAAACACTCCAAGCGTCCGAAAAGCTCAGGTTCGGACGACGACCGACAGGGCGACCGACCAACAGACCGACAAAATAAGGTTTCGAAAACATGCGAAATGGTTTCGTTCCAACCTCCTGAGGTTCCCAGTTGTTGATTTGAAGCACTTAAACTTGCAGACGCAGTACTTCAGTTTGGGAACGCCACCACAACAGCCTCCTGGCCGAACATGCACATGTCAAGTGTAAGGTTTCAGACTAAATGGCTAATGGGCAGCAACAACAACAATGTAACATGCAAGCATGTATGGACGAAAATTCGTATGAAATCAAAATAAAAAAGAGTGCCAGTGCAGCTGCGACCGCGACTGCAAGCTCTTCGGGTGACACCTCTGGTCCCGCCAATGGAAGTTGACACGGGAATCGCTCTAGAAGGGCAGAGAGCTACATCTGAACTCTGTTTGCTTGACGACCGGTTCGCAGAAGCTGGACGAGTCAGAGCAAAGCGCCGTCCCAGTTCAGCAGAGTACGTTGGACGTCGGAAACCTCTACTTTGCAGTGCAACATTTTCCAAGGTTTTTGCCAACGCAAAGCTTGTGTTGACATGCATCGCACACTGATCAGTTCAAAGAATCTTCCATTGACTTGTCTGTCAGTCCTGCACTCTAGCACAGCGCTCTAAACATACCCTGAGCTTCAGGTCCACGAGCAAGAAGCTGTTCTGGGAGTCTTGAAGCACCTGGACGAGGACGCAAAGAAGTACCTTTTGTTGCGCCAGACCACCAGCGGTCTGGATGCCATGTTGCAAGAGCTGCAGTTTTACGACGAGCAGCTTCGAGTGCTAAACTTCCAGAAGGAGCACCACCACGGCAACCTGAACGCGTTCGGTGCTGGAAAAGGCGACAAGGGTGACAAAGGGAAAGGCGACAAAGGCAAGAAGGGCAAAGGAGACAAAGGGAAAGGTAAAGACAAAGGAAAGGGCAAAGGAGAGAGCAGACAAGGGCAACAAGGAGAAGGAGAAGCCCGGAAAGGGTTCAGCTGCACGTGCCAAGAGCAAGGCCAAGAAGACCGACGTTTGCCACAACTGCGGAAAGAAGGGACATTGGGCCCGCGACTGTTGGCTGAAGCAAGCTGCTGCGGTTTCCCCCCACGAGGCCAACGCCACTGTGACGACAGGTGCTGCGGAGAGTTCGGGGAGCGCTACAGCTGCCAAGGCTGCGCCGAAGGCGCCGAGCAACCAGCCCACTACGAAGGGCGACGTTGGGAAGGGAACAGAGAAGGGCGTCAGAACGTTCCTTGAGGGAGCATACTTTGCGATGCCCATGGTCGCACCTTCCTTCGTTGAGTCGGGAGAGAAGATCTATTGGCTTCTCGACTCTGGGAGCTCGTACCATGTGGTTTCCCAGGCGACGCTTGAGAGTGGACACGTCAAGGTTTTGTCAAGAAAGAAGCGACCGAAGACTGTGTGCCAGACTGCCACCGGCGACCTGGTGGAAGTGGGAAGCGACACCCACGCGACGATCGAGGTGAATTTTCTCACCACTCGACACTTTGAGCAGCGAGGAGGAGTTCTGAGCACCTTTGCGTGCACCTGTCGTCTAGAAGCGGTAGTTAGCAGCGAAATCAAACACAACCTGATAAACCTCAACCTCCTCTGTTGGAGAGGCTGGAAGCCTACCCTTTACCGGGGTCTCTTAACAGCGGAACGTAAGGAGGTGACGCTGCTTCCAGCAGTGTTCGGCGACTGCACATGGCTTCAGAGTGTGATGGCTGATTCTTCCGCGAAGCTCACGCTTGCGAGTGTCTCGTCGTCTTGCGGTCTGTCGAGTGGTAGGTCTTTTGAGTTTTCCTCACCTGAGAAACAGCATGAGCATGAGTTTTCGCACGATGAGCATGATTTTTCACAGCATGGGCATGATTTTTCACGACAACAGCATGAAACAACGCATGTTGAACCGAGTGTTTTGCCACATGCTTGCGAGGACTCTGTTGGGCAGTTGGTAGGTCAGTCGTCTTGCGACAGCTCAGGAGTGCAGTTGGTAGGTCAATCGTCTTGCGGCAGCTCAGGAGTGCAGTTGGTAGGTCAATCGTCTTGCGGCAGCCCTGGAGTGCAGTTGGTAGGTCAGTTGCCTGCTAGAGTGGTAAAGCTTTTGCAATCGAGTGCCGTGGATCCATCTTCTTCACCTTTGCGCTCGGGGACCACATCTTCCGATCGAGGCCAGTGGGTGCAGCCAGGTTTTAGTGATTCTTCAGTGCAGCCAGTTTCTGTAGTGCAACCTGCGTGCAGTGATTCTGAAGAGCGTGTGCTTGGCGTGCATGGTCGGTTGGTTGGTCGGTCGGTTGTGCATGACGGTGTGTGCAGTTCGAGCGACAGTGTAGGTGAACAGAGGGTTTCCGCAGATCGCCAAGGCACAAGCTTGAGCCTTAAGGGTTTAGCTGATGAAGGCCAGTGCGAAGAAGGGCTGGACAGGCCGGGCGGAAACAATGGAGATATCCTCCGACGAGGAGGTAGGGGGGCCACCTGCCCCAAAGGCGACTGGGGTGAGCCTCGCGGACCGGGTCAACAGCTTCAGTTGGACCCCTCCTTATATTGCCCCAGAGGGGAAGTGGTCAAGCCCTCAGGCCCTGAGCCACAACAACCGCAACTACTGCGAGTACTGCATGGTCTGCGGGAAACACGCGACGGAGGCTCATTTAATGTCCGACAGCCACAATCACCACATGAAGTCGTGGATCGCCAGGAACCGCCCTGGTTTGAGGCTTCTACCGGACAGGCTTAGGCGTTTGGCACAAGCACAGTGACGGGTCCTTGACCCAGCCCGCGCTCTAGGAGCGCTCGAGTGCTTCAAAGTTTCGACTTTTAGGACTAGGACTTCACTTCCGCAGTCCCGCCCCCGCCTTTGGCAGTGTGGCATCACAGCTTTACTTCACAGCTTTCTTCACAGTTTCGGTGTCCTAGCTGGTGTTCCCTCCCAGTAAGTTTTTTCCTAGAATTTTTACAGCGCCATGGCCGACGTAGCCATGGCCAAGAAAGAGGAGCAGGAGTCCCAGGAAGCTCCCGCGCTGGAGCCGACGGAGGTGCCCAGCACACCCAGTGAGCCGATGGCCGCCGGGCCAACGCTACCGCAGCTGGCGCCGCGCACAGGCGGCGATGAGATTGCCCAGGATGAGCTGGCACAGTTTCGAGAATGGCAAAAGCAGAGGGCAGAGGCAAAGGCCCACGCCGCGCCGACCTCGCCACCAAAGAAGCAGAGGACCGATGATGAGGAAGACATGGCCGAATTTGAGGTGAAGCTCGTGGACCTCGACATCAACTTTGCGGACCTGGACCCAGAACTGCAGAACAAGCTTCGGAGCAGCAAGAGCTCCCGCCGAGATTTTCTGGCTATCCACACAACAGACAGACTTTATAATCCCACAGATGGCACATGGTCGGAGCAGCCTACCACGAAGAAGAGAGATTTTGGAAGCATTACTGAAAGAGCCATGCCAAACTTGACGGCAGAGGACAACGTGCAGCAAGCCATGCTGCAGTACCACCAGAAGAGCATCCTTCCTTCCCTGGACCAGTTGCAGATGTGCTGCGATCAATTTTACAAGATGGCACAACATGAGTTCGCGATGACACAGTATACCCTGGACAGGCATTCCAGCCAACTGCAGGTGCTGGAGCGTTCCAAGGCCAACAAAACCATACTTTTGCTGGATTTACCGCCAATTTTCAACAAGAAGACCCTGGACGCAAATGTTGGGTATTATCTGCAAGCCGCCGGCCTCCAATGGGACCAGGTGGCGGCAATGCACAATCATATGGTTTCCTCCGCCTCTTCACTTGTTCGCCTGGAATTTCTCACTGAACAGCAAGCTGCCCAGTTTAGGGACCAGATGAGACAAGGTCGCCGTTACTGGCGCGACCCCCAGCAGCAAGACCACAAGATCAGGATTGAGCAGGATCAGCCATTGGAAGACAGATTGGCTATGCAACCGTATTATGCTCTACTTGAAGTCCTCGCCGAGCTCTATGTGGAAGAAACTGGAGAAGACACCCACGCCTCCCTACAGACCTGGAGGCAGACACTGCAGATCTGGACCCCTAAGGGGGTGGAGCCCAAGCAACTTATTGGGCAGGTGAGCTACGTGCTTGATCCGCGCTTTGCGCGCCGCTACTCATGCTTGCTTTTGGTACATGACAGATTCTACGACGCGGCCCTGACAAGATGGCATGCAAAATTTTCGCGGAGACTTCGGGATACCTTATTTCTGGCACAGGCGCTCAAGCGCGCCACTTCTGACCGCACGACTGTGCAACGCGCTTCCTACGACAAGGCCTTCGACCTCACTACTGCCTCCCATGCGCAGGCTTTCCCTTACACGGTGATGCCGGTACGCATTTCGGATGATCTGGCTTCTATGCTTGAGTCTCACCCCATGTTGCCTTTTCAAGGCGCTGGCGGCATGACCGCCTTGACGGCCCAGGCTTTCTTAGATAGGGTTTTGAGGATTACGGCAAAGGGTCCCTAGGGCTAAGGGAGCCGGAAAAGGTAAGCCCCAAACCAAATCCCGAAACGATCGCCAGGACCAATGGACTCCCCAGATGGGCAAAGGCAGCAGTCACCGATCTTCTTACCAAGGATGGTCCCAGAAATCCGGATGGTCTGACTACAACACATACCAGAAGCCCAAAGATAAAGGCCAGGCCAAGGGCCAATGGAAGGAACGCGACCACGACTCCAGAACCAACTGGAAGAAGGACGACGACCAGGATAACAATGATAGTTGGGGCGCCTGGGGTTCAGGTCCCTGGGCCCCCTCCAGAACACCTAAAGGCCCAATTTTCGGAGGCTCGGGCAAAGGCTCCCCACAGCAACAGACCCAGCACAACAAAGGTAAAGGCCACAGTCACATTCAGCCAGTCTTTATTTGCGAGCATTGCTCCTGTGCCCTGGGTTACTGCATTGATTGCCCTAAGTGTAAGGAACACCCAGTGCCCCCCGGTTTCATGTGGAAAGACACGGTCCCCTGGAAGAACCGGTAGTGGTCTCCACACCGACTCGGAGATAGGCGAAGAGACCCTTCTGTGCAACGGACCAAGTGAAGGAAAAAACGAGAGGAGGGTGCAGAGTTTCCCGCAGCCACCGACTAGCAAGGTTTCGAGACTCCCTGGCTCCCAAACCTCTGCTAGACTCCCCCCAACTGGGCTCAGGACATCCGAGACGATCAGGCCACAGTGCAGTCTTTTCACAGCCTGTGGTGCCTGCGGTCAGGCAGGCTGGGCAGACCACAGGAATCCACGTTCTTCTACCTCCTCTTTGACACCACAGACCCTTATGCGGTGACGCTAGACACAGACGATGAGGGTCCTGGCTTCAAGTTGTATTGCCTGCGGGATTGGCAGGGCAAAGGAGTCCGCCCACCAACACGGTTATACGCCGCCTTTGCCGAGCCTCATGCCCGCAGCGTACTAGGTCGTATGCCAATCCCGCAGAGTGCCACGGAGCAAACAGTGGACTCTCATGACATGCTGTGGGCTGTGGCGTCGCTCCCTGGCAGCTACTATTTGGCTCAGGCTCTTTGTACTGTTTGCGTGGTAGGGTCATCTGTGGTGGCAGCACCGCTAGCAAGCTCCACCAAGGCCGGGCGATGGTGGATGGGGTCCGTGTCAAGAGCTTGGATCAGTGTAGTCAGATCAGTTTGCCAATCCGCTATACTGAAGACGCGCGGGCATCCGACACTGTACAGCTCATCGACGAATCTGGGATCCTCTCGCACTCCCGCTCCCGCGCTGACGGGAGGCTGCAAGACAGCATGCCCGCTCTTATCGTATTTCGCGGTCGCCAGACCACAGGAAAGAGTGCCTGCATCACCAAACAGAAACGATGACTGAGCGTAATCCGCCCCGACTAGTTCCCGCAACCTGTACCGGAGGTGTAAGGCGGGGGCCCCCCCTCCGGCGCCAAACATGACTGCGGACGAACATCTCGTTCATCTGCGGCACATTCTACCGTCACAGGACGATTGCGATACACTCCTTTCTCTGCCAATGTCCTTAACTGCGGGGTCGCTACGCGTCAATGTTGACCAATTTGGGTACGCCATTTGCAGCTTTGCGGACAGAGCCATGCGAATGCGATGTTGTTCCGAGGAAGAGGCCTGGCGACTCTGTGTTAATCCTCTAATCGCTATCAGTGCGGCCCTAGCGGAACTGTGTGAACCTCTGCAACACTTGGCAGATGACAAGGCCTTCGGACGAAATCGTTGCGCAGTGGCAGCATGCAGATTTGGCCACGCTGGACAATACCATGGCGAGGGATGGCAGCTTTATATTAATGGCCCTAGGTGGTCCCAGCAGGCGGATCTCGCCACTTCAGTATTGCAGTGCCCTGCTCCCCATCCAGGTGCTGCTCTATGTGGTCCGGCGCCTGGTCGATCGTCCTCAGGCTTACCCGCATCTTTCGGTTCTCGAAGCCTTTCGTGACAGCGACCAACAGGCCGCGGATGAGGGGAGACAGGGACAACTTGGCATTCGCCTCGCGGCCTCCTTCGAAGCACGGGAAATTTGTCCTTTGCAATTACGCACAGGGAGCAGACTACGGCAGTACTGGGAAAATGGCGTCATCGCGCTTCATCATGCCTGCGTGAATCCCGACATCTTCACCCATCCGGCCGCTTATCAAGGACGCTTTCGCATTTACATTCCGCTCTCAGAAGAAGCGCTCGGCTTGCGACCAGCAGCGGCACTGAGCCTGCAGCCAGCTGGACTTTTGTCGAGTGCGCTGGCTAGAGTTCGACAGTGGACACACCAGGAAGGCTATGACTTACGTGCAGCCCTGGCAGTCTGGCTACCAGGACCCAAACGCATCACCATGTATTACCCAGAACGACTCTATCTGCTGGGCAGCCATACGGTGACAGGCCGGCATGCGGAGATCGTCCGTCGGGACTTCGCGGATGTTCCTATGCGCGCCCATGATGGCTACCAGCCATACACTCTGGGATGGAACCACCGCCTAGAAGACTGGGTAGCTGCTGCTCGGCAGTTCCGGGCACAAGGGGGACTGGGTAACGGCCTTGATTATCAGTTCTTAGGATTCCGGCTTGTACCTGACTACCACACTTCTTCCACCAATTACTGGTACACTTGGCGCCAGCTTAAGAAGCGCTTGGATAATGGAGAGTGGAAGTTTCTGTACGCCTTAAATGACGAACAAATGGAAGATCACCGTTACTTCCGCAGGATACTTTGGGAGGTTGCCGAACGCTACTGGGCGCGACATGCGCCTAATGTCCGCCTATAATAAGGTGCGTGGACGACCGACAGATCGATGGTTGACCTTAGTCGGCCTACCACAGCAGCTGGTGTGCCCGTTTTGGGTCCTGGCCATTCGGCTACGGGCAGATATGTGAGTCCAGCAAGCACAGTGCAGTCCGAACCCTAATCGAACCCTAATGAGCCCCCTTTTCAGTGGTAGATGGCTAGCAACGCAGCCGTGGATACTTTTTGCCAGGAGCCTTCACATGCACATGTACCTGGCTTATCTTGCGAAGTTCTATCACTAGCGGAGGGCAAGTAGCCAGACGGCGTAGCCGTAGTTCAGTCGCCGCCATGGAGGCACTGCCGGACTTCCTGTTGGTTGCTGTCATTCCTTGGATTGTCCTACAACGGATTCCAGCCCTCTTTGGAACACCGCCATGTGACGTCACCCGGCACTTCATGAGGTCTGTCGGTCGACAGGAACGCCGAGCTGCCCGCATCTTGCTCCAGCGCCAGTATGATGCCCACTATTCCCGAGTTGAAGTGCGCCTCGCGCAGTACAACCTTTACAGCTATCGGGTGGCGCACGATTTTCAGGTTCCTGCACGACTCGGCATTCATGTGCGGGCCACCGTGGTACAAATTGATCTAGAGCATGTTGTCACGCTGGCATCGGTGTCTCGGGAGGCCTACGGGCTAGTCTCTCAGTCCCTCCAGCAAGCGGCATTCCTTCGAACACCAGCCATTCAGGAGGCCCTTATTGAGCTGCAGCCGTGGTCCTTCGCATGCATGGAGCAGTGGGGGCTGCCCTACTTTTCTGTCGAACGGTGGGGGAACTACCTTTTACACGCCTGCGGCTACCGCTGTCGGACTTAGCCCTGAGCCATGACCCTTGACCGGCCATACCTTGGCCCTTGCGAGACCCACCAGTGGGAAGCTGGGCGAGGTGGGCTCTGAACACAAGCTAGCTGCGGGACTCGAGCCGCGGGAATCACCCCTCCTTTGTGGCAGGGGCATTGTGCCCCTGCGCCTGACACCCCGGGTGGCCGGACTGCAAGCACGGAGTAGAGTCGTGTTTAGGGCTGCCAGCATGCCTGGCTTGCACTGGCCCTTCGTTGCATTCGAGGAAAACTGCTAGGTGGTGGGATGCTCAGCCCCACCACCTTTCGTGGTTGTGCTCCCCAAGGCAAGTCCGTGCTCCCCGTTTAGGGGTTTCACTTTCTCTTGTCAGGTTTTGCCTGCGTACCTTGATCATCACCCTGGCGTCGCCCCCAGTGAGGCAGCTTGACAGGCTGCCCATGTGCGTGCTTACGGGCGTCTCTCTCATTGCTTGAATGATGCCAGGCATGGGCAGCATCATGGCGCATCAAACCGGCTGCCGGGTTTACTGGTGACGACAAATACGCTATGGCATAGTCTATGCCCAGCTCTGCATTGCATGGCCCTCGGGATGCCCAAAGGGTCCATCGATCTCAGAGGACTGGCCTTACCATACGTTCAGTGCCCTTGCGAGACCCGATTGGGAAGCGGGAAGCTGGGCGCGATAGGGCCTCGAATGCAGGGTAATCGAGGACCAGCTCTGCGGGGCCAGTTCGTACAGTGTCTGGGTCTGGGAAGATAGGTACTACGATTACCATCCCGGGCGGCGGGATAACCGGCACGGCCGAGCTCCGCGACTTGAGACGCAGACTATGCAGCTGCCACCGGCGTCATTGCTGCAAAAAGTTGAATCTGCGGGTGGCAGCGATCGTGCCCGCCTGCTAGGGCCCTGCGCCTGCATCGGACTTAGCTCAGCCATGTGACTCCACTACACGCTCGACATGTTTTCAACTGTGCAGCTGGGCTCATCATATGTGCCTTGCCCTTCCGTAAGGTTGTAGATACCTGGCCATGGCGGATTTATCAGAGAACACTCTCTTACGTGTCACCACCTATGTCTCTGTTCAACCCCTCTCGCTGCTCTACTGCGCTCCGCCGAATGTCGCTACGCGGCAGCTATTGAGTGCTGTGGGCTCGCGAGAGCGCAAAACGGCCGGTCTTGCCTTTCGGCAACAGCTGACGGCATACCAACGGTCGGTAGCCGCATACCTGGATCGGTGTGTGTTTGTGTGTTGGCAAATAGAGCGCAGACCCCGTGGCGTTCCGACACATCGCTTCCATTTCAACACTATTTTTCTTTTCAAGCAGCCATTTCGACATTGCCAAGATTCCAGACGTCCACGGCCCTAAAACACCATGCGGCACCCCAATTTTTTCGAATCTTGAGCCCGCCCGTCGGGACTGCGCCCCGACGGCCCCGCCAAGCCGGCCGTTTTGCGAGCCGACCAGGCACGGGTGCGGACCCGATTTCGGAATGCGTTCCGCGTGGTTGACCGAATCGGCCCTTCCCTGTCAAATCGGTGCCAGCCAGCCCCGAACCGTGGTCGGGAAGGGTTTAGGACGGGTCGAACACAGCCACACGGAATCGCCGGGCATCACGGAACCGCCGACCAGCACAAAACTCCAAGAAATCATAATCCTGGAATGCAATGACAATGCACATAGTGACATAGTGTTATATTCAAACAGCAGCACGGGTCTAGGCTTTCCCAGCCTGCATCAGTTGCTCATCCGTGTAGCTGAACACCAGGAGCAGCAAGCATAGAACGAACTCCTGGGCCCAAGTAGGCTAGTCTTGACATACAGAGTATCTAGATAGCGCCAATATGCCACCCTTCAATCGTGATTGACAGGGTTTTATTTCCAAATTTTGTTTGAAAGGAAAAACGGGAGTTTTTCATTTT